GGAAGGAAGGAAGGAAGGAAGGAAGGAAGGAAGGAAGGAAGGAAGAAGGAAGGAAGGAAGGAAGGAAAGGAAGGAAGGAAGGAAGGAAGGAAGGAAGGAAGGAAGGAAGGAAGAAGGGAGGGAAGGAGACAGAAAAGCCAACTGGCATCTCTGCAGTCTTCTTACGGACAAATACACAAATTTTGTTTGATTTTTTGAAATATAAGAAATAGATTATTATTTCTCTTTTATTAGTGAATCCTTAGCAACTTTGGAACTCAGGCTAAATGAGAACCACTGGGTTTTTTTTTGTTGTTGCTTTTTTTTTGTCTTTTTGAGACAGGATCTTGCTATGCAGTTCAGGCTGGCCTTGAACTCACATTGTAGCCCAGGCTGGCCTCGAACTTGCAACGATCCTCCTGCCTCAGCCTCCCCAGTGCTGGGATTACAGGTGTGCACCACCATGCCCAGCTCGAGAACCACTGTTTTGATTATAAAATGTGGCCTCAGGAAACTGAAAAAGCTGACAGTAATAGTTAGAAAAAGTAGTTAAAGTTTTAAGGGAGGAGATACTGTCTGCAGCATCTCTCAGGCCCCTCTGCTCGGATTCCTTCCACTTGCAGTGAAGCAGTGTAATAGTCTACCCACAACACACTCATCTTCACAGTGCACAGCGCTGACTGAGGCAGCAGGCATTCTTACTGTTCTAGTTTTTGTTTGTTTGTTTGTTTCTCACTTACTACTCTCTTTAAAATAAAAAAATAAATAAAATATTATGCTTATAGAAGATTTGTTGTAAAGTTTTCTTTGAAAGGTTTCATCAACTGAAACAGTCTTGTTTTGCTATGTAGATTGCTTTCTGCAGACACACAAGATAATCTGCATGCAGACTTCATACCATAGTTAGAGAACTTGAATTATACTGCACTTTTTAAATATTAAATGGCATGTTACCCTAGACAAGCTTAAGCTTCTCCTGTTTTTCCGTTCCTCTTCTGATTTCTCTTTGTAACATTTTCATATTTAGAATCTGTACATAAGAGTCAAATATTTACCAATGGCTGAATTATTTGAATAATACGTTAGTCATACGGTGCTTTTGTATCTCGTGAAAAGACTGTTATTCCCAATCCAGCATTTATGAGACTTTTTACTGGGGACTAAGGTTTTTTAAGAAGAAGAAGTTTTGCCCTCCACACCAGTATCTCTTTCAAAACTACCTAGATATTAAAATGAAGATGCTCTCCCGCGACACTCACTTTTTTGTCTTTATTGTACTTGGTAAATATCTCCTGCGCTCGCTCTTCTCCTCCGTCCGTGAACAGCATTATGATCTTATTGCAGTTGGCTCGGGACACATTATACTGTTAAAGAAAGAAATATTTGTAACAACTGGGAAAACAAATCAACACGAAAGACATGTGCAGAGGGCAAGTCATGAGCAATGCCCGCTCCACAGATGGATTCTAAGAGCCTGGTACTAAGAGTCCGTCCCTACACCTGGCCCCAGATGACCAAGGAGCTCTCGGCCCCTCCTTTCAGGTATTTGATCCAGTGCTGCCCTACTGGCAGCACCTTTCTTGACAACTGCTCCCAATCATAATCTCCTTTCCAAACTGCATCTTTCCTTAGACCCTTTCCCATTCTCTTGCATCTAGTGTGTGTGCTCCGCCAGTAGAACAAAAGATCCACACAAGCTGGAAATTTGGTCTATTTTGTTGAATATCGCTTCCCTGCCACAAAGAGTTCCGAGCACATAGTAACCTCTCCGTGACTGGTCTGTCCATGGATTTTTAAAGTAGTAAATGGGTGTATCAGTGGTGTGCCCTTGTAACTTCACAGGCTAATGTAGTAGCATCAAGAAAGAACACGCTCACCTGTTCAGCACATGTTCAAATATTCTTCCTCCCTTCCCTCCTTCGTCATCCTGTTTTACTCACCTTTACACTTCCCGGAGGAGGACAGCTGCCCACCGCCCCAATGACATCTCCCAGTTCTCCCTAAGCGCTAAGCCCTCTCCCCAAGGCATTATCCTGTGCCCTGTCTCCTGGTCACGCATAGTCTAACTCTCCTGGTCACGCATAGTCTAACTAAAAGAGTCAACTCCAGGGATAAGTCCTCTTGGACTGGACAGTTTCCAAAAGGAATTGTTCAGAGAACAATGAATTAGGACCAAAACCACCCCAAGGAACAACTTAAAAAGCTGGATGTTGAGGTAGGATACTATAATCTCAGCTTTTCTACTGCCATAAAGTGGATTTCTTTAAATGCAGAGGAAAATACATCACAGAAATTTGTGAACTGCAGCTTCTTTTGAAATGTCAACCCTCTAATTAAGAATCAGCCAAAAGAAATATGTGAGCTTAATACGGAGCTTTAAATTTTCTAATAGCCATCTTAAGGTGAGTTATAAGTATTTATAACTGATTCCTGTATTTCATTTAGTGTAGTTATTATTCAAAATATTATCAATTCAACCTGAAATCAATAGAAAAGTTATTGGGATAATACACATTCATTTTCTTCCATACTAAATTTCCAGACTTGAAGGTATATGTTATACTTACACCTCATCTCACTTCAAATTAACTTTAACTCTATTATTCAAGAGTGACATACAATACCATTGTGATTACCATAATTGGTCAGCATAGTCCTGGCCTTTATGGGATTAACATTTTAAAAAAATATTGATTCTACTTTAGCATTTGAACTTATTGAAGGTCCATATTCTTACCTTTTAAAGAAGATAAAACCATTTCCTAGTATAAAAATTAATGAAGACAATATTCTGTTCTACTTGTAAAAGATCTAGTTGTAAAAGATCTACATAATCTCATCTCACCGACTTGTAAAAGATCTACATAATCTCATCTCACTGACGAGGCCATTAGGGCACTGGCAGTGAAAGCCATCCCTGCAGTACAAGCACTGACCAGTACATCCCTCACACTCAAGCATGGTTCAGACCATTCACGATAACCAATCTGCAGATTTGACTCTACAGGAAGTTATATATTGTGTCATCAAAATATGTTTGGGAAAAGTGTCTAAAGGTGTCCTTAATTAAAATTAATTTCTACAATGATTTATCTTTTTATCGATAAAATAGGCAAAAAATATGCACCTACAGGACTATTATTTGAGAGTGGTACAGTAAGTAAAGTTTTATTGAAGTAATGAAAATATTATTGGATGCAAATGTCAATATAAGTTAACACACTAGATCCTGCCTATCATTTTGTTTTGTGTGTAAAGTAAAATTACAATAATATTTCCTAGGAAAGATAGATATTAAAGCATACATCTAGCATGAGAAAATTCCAGAAATATTTGGCTTTCAGTATTGATTTTTCCCTAGTGTTATGGTCTGTGTCTGGGTGTCCCCCCAAAGCCACATGCAGCCATGGGGTGAGCTTTTACAGTTTTTGATTCATGGGTGTGACTGCTACACTGCCCTGGGGTGGGTAGTTTGCATATGTAAGGGAGAGAAAGAGGCTGCTTGCCACCACCCGTCCCTTTTGCTCTTGCTGCTTTTGCTGTCTTCCTCCACCATGAACTGTTGCCCTCTGCATGTGCCACCCTGCCTTGGAGCCAGCCAAGTATGGACTGAAACCTCCACAAACTGTGAGCTAAATAAACCTTCCCTTCCTTAATTTTGGGCATCAGGCATTTTGCCTCAGCAATGAGAGAAAAGTAACCAAAAATCTACCTAGAAGTAGATTTTTCAGGATTTGTGGTACAGTAACATATATCACAACAAATTTTCCATGGGTTTCCACTATGTAGAGAACACACAGTCATAATAATTAATGTAACTGGCATGTAACAAATTTGAGAGAGAGACAGAGAAAAATAAGTTGATTGCTTCCACAAAATTAGAGTCAGCAGAGTTAGTATTTATTTTAGTATGGTATTTTAGAACACACCATGTCTGTGTGTTGCATTCCTGCATGGCCAGTGCATAGTGCAGTATCTATCAAGTATGCACACAACAAAAATTGCTTCGAAAATTGCATCTCGTAGTTGGTAATATTTTACAAAATTCTACCTGAAGCCAGATGTGAATCTTCATTTACTTATTAGTGTGGGACTTAACACCTAATTCTATTTGATAGTTGTTTCAGTGGCTTCAGAGGCAAATCATGCAAGGACAAATGTAAGCCAGAGAATAGCACAGCACAGTAATATGAGCTGAAGTAGTTGAAAGAAGTGACAAAGCAGGTGTCCACTCTGAATAAGGTAAGCCATGGTATTTGCAGAAATTCTTTAAATAAAAATTTCGAAACTTATGGGATGCGGAGGAAGCAGAACACAGGAGCCTTAGAGCATAACTGAGAACACAAAAGTCATTTACAACCGTGGACAAGCGGGCAGAGTCACGTCTTGTTTTGTCAGCAACTGACAAGGAACCTCGGGCCCCTGTGGCCTCTCCAGCGGGCCTGCCCCTGAAGCCATGCTCTAGGATGGAGACCGCTGGCCATGGAACCCCCGAGCCCCAAGCAGGAGCGAAGCCGGTGAGAGACCTAGCAACACTGAGAATAATTACGGTCGACAGGGTGTAGAAAGCTCCATCATTAACGCAAGAAAACCTATAACTAAAACTTAAAGCTTACATTCCTTAAATCAAAGGCAAAATTTATCTCAAACTCAAGGTCAATGATCACTTGAATTGTGAAGTTCTGAGCTCTCAGTTTTTGTTACTGAACATACAACTCTGAGCCAGCACATTCCTTTCATCAGGGATGACTTTCCCTCCCCCAAAGATGGCCATGTTGAATGTCTGTCCTTTTCGGTCTCTTTCCTTGCTTGTTTAATGGCATCTGTTGAATAATAAGGCCTCAAACGCAACCTACCTGAAGCTGAGCTATTTGTCCCCTAATCCCCGCCTGGGTCCCTGCACCGCTGCTTCCTTTGAAAATGATTTCCCTCCTAGACTGCTCATCATTCACAAGTCCATTTTCCGGGGAGCAGCTGAGCCTGACCTCTGTGCTGCTTCCACACAGGCTCGGATCCAGGAAACACCACCTTCGTGCTGTGTGGAGATGGTGGTGAGTGAGGGACACTGGCCTTCCTCAGCTCAGATGGCCTTGTTTCCTTCTCTAGTTCCAGCTCAAGCATGGCAGGAAATTGGGGGCACGCCATAAATACTGGTTACGAAAGACTGAATGAAGCAAATGTTCTAGAATATTCACTCAGGGACCAACAAAGCCAGATTTCTAGTCAAGATCAAAAATGAGGGTTCATTTATTCAGTGACAGAGCAGATATGACAAGAATTATGGGCTGCCTCTGCCACAGATGTGGCCAGTCCTTCGTTACAGCGGTAAAGATCGTGAATCCAAGGTGAAACCAATATCCACATCTGTGTGCAGCTGGCTGCCGGGCAGGTGCTAGGTCCAGTCCCAAGCACGGCTCTGAGGTCCATGTCCTGGTGACCGCATGGGGACATGTGGAAGCCAAGGAACAGAGAAACCCAGCTGCCACACTGTCATACCAGCGCCTCAGGAGAGAAAGGAAATGCAATCCTGGCTCCTGCTCCAGTAGTTCAAAATGAGACAGAAAACTGAACCATGGGAAGACACTGGTCCTCAGCATGAGGAGCACACCGTAACCTGGGGTGGAACAGGTCGGTGAGGAGCAGAAGTGAGATTATCATGGGGAACTGGGGCCACTATCGCTGGGGGGACTTCCTGCTCCGGGACTTCACTTTCTGTTCACCTTTATTTCTACCACTTGGATGCTTTTGTTCATTTAGGAAAAATAATCCTAAGGACCTAAACTTGCCATTTAAAATGAAAATATTTCCAATACCCATGGGATGATTGAAAGTACGAAAGTGTTTAGGTAACTACTGCAGCAATCGTGGTGAAGAGAAAGCAAGACATTTTACACAGGCCAACTGATTTTCTTAGGTACTTATTCAAAAGTAAATCATATCATTAACTTACAAGTGAGTTTTTCAAATTGGAATTTGAAGAAAACATGGAAATAAAAGGTCTAAAAGAAAATATATACCGTACTTACCTTTTGAAGTTTAGATTTAAAAATAAAGAGTTCAATGATTTTTATTGCCTGTGTCCACCTGGTATAAGTGTTTCTAAGAAGAGCATGGTTTCTGCCCCCTAGAGAGGCGTAACTATCAGGATACAGAAATCCAGATACAACAACTCAATAATAAACAAGAGACACAACAGTGATACTTACATTAAGCAACTGCTCAAAAGCAAAACTAAAGCCTTTCTTGTAATCGGTGATTCCTTTTGCTGTGATGTTGTTCACTGCATCTTTCAACACTTTCTTGTTTCTTACATTGGCTTGGACGAGGTGCTGAAAGCAGCTTACATCCTGAGCATTGCTGTTAAACTGGAGATGATAAAAGAAAGAAAATATATAAATACCATTCAAATCAGGCACACAATCTTCATGGGATTTGTGTTTCAGGCAGCTTGGCCGCACAACATTTCTTCTTCAAAGGAACAGTGGTGTCTCTATGTTCGGCGTGCGGAACGCACTTGGGCAGTTTCTCCTACGCCTCTATTCATTCTGTCGTGCTGACCTGGTCACCTTCCCATGTCTCTGTTTCTCTGATTATGAATTTGGGATTTGAACCATGTGTGCTCACTCTAGGTCTCAATTTGGTGAACCTGTACCCCCTCCACAAAAAAGAATTGAAGACAACAGAATATACTCAAGGTCTGAATGTGACCCAAGACGCTTGCCGAGGATGCAAGGAAAAGTCAAGCATTTTAATCACCTGCCCTCTGGAAAGGCTAAGTGGGGGAAAAGCCCCTTGACTGACAAGAATGGACATTTAGGTTTTGAAATTTAATGGTGGAGTCATCCTGTGGGGCTAAAACCAGAAAGTATCCCGAGAGAGTCAAGAATAATGAGTTGTCCAGAAACATGCCGGTGCAGGCGATAGGAGGGGCGCAGGGAAACCTCGGAGGCCAGGTGAAGCCAGCAGATCATTACCACGATGCTGGAGGGGAGAGAACAAGTCCAAGGATACCTGTTCCACACCAGAGATCTAAGACACTCACCCAAGGAACCTCACCAAATCCATGGTGTGTCCCTAGAGGTGGGTGGGTATTTCCACGAGGACAAGGACAGCAGGAGTGATGCAACGGACTCTAGAAGCTTACGGTCCTTCCTTAATTCTGTAATTCGAATCCATTCCTCAGACTATTGAGGCCTAGACCACCACATGGACAAAATGGGAAGGACAGAAAACATGGGTGCTAGAAGGCAGTGCCTGGCTGCATGAATGTGGAGGAGGTTTTCAGATCAATAAGAGATAAGTCAGTGCTTTCAACGGATGGCTCCAAAGTGAGCACCCACTTCTGCACAGGCCACATTCTCTGTCCTCTGAAGACCACCAAGCCGCATTACAAGTACTCAGCAAAGTTTGGTCATCCACAAAGCAATATTTACTAGCAGGCAAGATTCAAAACAAGTGAAAATACTGTGCTTTTGGACAGTAGGTAGGTTACTCATGCATGCAGTCCTACAGAGACCATGTATCTACCTACGTGTTGTTCACTGTAAGCTAAGGTTAATGCAAACCTTGAAGAGTAATCATTTCCTCTTTGCAGATGCCTCACAAGATAAGCATTATCATGACCTTCTCTGACCCAGGAGGACACTTAAGGGTAGAGAGGCTGAACAGCTTAGGAGGGACGAGTCCTGTAAGTCCTGAGCTTTGAGAGTCAGTATTCAAAGCAGCACTGCGACAAGAGTCTGTGTTTTCAACCAGCCCTGCACTGCCCATCAGTACAGCACAATGAATTACGGTTCGTTCCGTAAAGCACCATCGCATTACACCAGAAGCAACGGCATCAGGCGGAGGGCTTCCCATCTGCACTGCTCAGTTGCTCAGTTGCGGGAAGTTCTTCTGGAAAAGGGTACTTCCCACCATCCCAGAGAAATGCTCCCTGAGGAACAGCGAGAGGAGCACTGCAGGTAAACAGGCCATGATACAGGGAGGGGAGGCTTTTAGGGGAACACGCAGGAGCAGAGCATGACTTTATCATATCACAAGGACCAACGACGGGTCCAGAGAGCAAGGCAGGGCTCGATCTTGTGTGCTCTAAAGGAAATGCTGAAGAGTTGTGGTTTCATTCTCTGTCAGTAGAAGAATATAAATCTTTGCAGGAAGGATTTATACCCAATGCAAGGTAACCCAATCTAGAATCCTAAGACTACACCCTGGCTGCCACGTGGGACAGAGACTTGAGGTAAGCAACACTTCAAGGAGAGAGTGCTGAGCTCTCGAACGCAGTCCCCCGGCTGCAAACACTTGTTAGCTCTGTTGTTCAGGGAGAGGGTGAATGAGGAAGCTCAGGGTCTACTTCTGAGAAGCGCTAGGGTGTGAGGGTCTCTGCACGTGGACAGGTCGGGGCTGACCTTGCTCACATGCCCATGGGTGACGGGGTTTGGATGGGTACGGGCCTGGCGGGCTCAGGGACAGCTGGGTGCTGGGCAAGAGATGCCCAGAGCTCAAGGAGGCTGAGTTTTCAGTGTGTATGAGAAAGCATCTGACATGAGTCTTAGTTGTTTGTCAAGATTAAAAAACAAAACAAACAAACAAAAAAACCCAAAAAGCAAAAGCAGAGGTTCTGTATAAAAGTCTGGCCGGGGCTACATGAGGAGCAGCAAGGCAGTTTTCTGAAAACCTAAGGTCGAGTTGCAGGGCCTGCACGGCGGAGGGGTCTGGAGGTTGAGGGTCTTGCTGGTGGCAGAAAGGAGGTCTGCAGAGGAAGTCTGGCCCAGAGGCGGGAAGACAGCCCTCTGCCGGGCCAGCAGGCCACGGTCCTTTACGCAGAGCAGGCAGGAATAGACGAGGCTCAGGACACCTTCTCAGGGTCTCCTCTGGGAACCAAATGGAGCCATATCGTGGGGCCTGCAGGGGAGACCTGGGTTCCCCAGAGTGCGAGAGGCTGTGTGGTGAAGACAGGCCGGGGTGCCAGAAACAGCAGAGGTAAGAACTGAGAAGAAGCGGGAGGAGGGGTGGTCACGTGGTGAGGAGAATTCCTGCCAGAAACTTGCTGGGCTGCGCTGTCCCAGGACAGCGGGAGCTGGGGCGAGTGGGAAGCCGGCGATGAGCACCTCCTCAGCTGGGGAGCAGGCAGCGCCGGAGCAGGAAGCACAGCACCCTGCACCCACACACGACTCACGCCCTTCCTCATTTTTGTCCTGAACACCACTTTCAGGCATGTGGGGTAGATGAGAATAAATACATTTATTGTATTTATTGTATATATTGTATTCAATATATCCATTAACTATTTTTTATAAACTCCAAGGTTCAAAACTCAATATCCTCAATCCAAATGACCACTCCCATGTCTTATTCTTTGCATTTTTCTGCTCTTTGATAATTGGCTCCAATAGCGTTCCACTTTGAAAATTAAAGAATGTGAGAATTCACTCTGTACTAGTAAGGGAGAAACAGTTTGCCAACTTATTAATAGGAAACATCTGACTTTAGAGAATTATTAGAAATAGTTACAGGAAATGTTATTAACTGATTTTCTTAAAGCATGAGTCATCCTGAAGATAAAAATTATGCATAAAATGAGCACTGAATAATGAACTGTGATCCCAGAGACTTTCATTTGGCCTTGACCTGCTTTTAGCACAGAAAAGTGAAGCATCTCATTAGGTTACTTTAATATAAAATGATGAAATGTTAATGTGATTCACTAAATACAAATTCAGTGATGTATAACAGAAATATTACAATTGCTCCCATAATACAACTCATAAATAATGCAGGGTGAGCAGTACCACATGAAGTAGAACTCCCTCTAGCAAACCGTACCCTCCACGCAGTGAGGATGAATGTAAAAGCTCTAAGTTAGATAATACACTCAGATGTCTTAGATCACTTGCCTTTACAATATATGTGTGTGTGTTTGTGTGTTTATTTTAACAAACTTAAACGGTTGCCTTTGATAACGTGTCCATATATTAAAACCACTTTTTAAAACCCTCAAAGCAACCACGTTAAGATAGCTTTTGAAAACTTTGAAATTGTGTAAAGTGAGTGAAAACCTAGAACTCAGGTGCCCTGCTTTTATCTTAAGAAAGTGCTTCTTTTGAAAGTGTATCTTAAGGCTGCAGAGTCAAAAACCAAAACAAATATCACACTGATTCCTTTTCCAATCCTAGAAAATACAGCTCTCCTCCATCTCTCTCTTTCGTACAGGACACCTATGAGTTACCACCTCACATCTCTTTTTCTGTCTGGACAGACTGTCCTATTATCAGCTTACATGGTCAAAAAAATTGTCCACCTCACCACCTGCAGCAGGCACACAGTGGGTATGCTTCCATTTGCTGATGAATGTGCACATTTCTGCATAACGCCTCAGATGTAGGAAAATTAAAAGGTAGTGCAAAATGTTGATCAATAATCAAGCCATAGGCCTGCAAGGTAGAGAAACTGTGTTTTTCTTCTACAATATGTTAATGTGTATATTTAGAAAGATAAAAATTCTGTCCAAATTGAACCCATAAAAAGTCAAATGACGATGTGTACAAATCTATTACCCAGCCTGGTCCATAGTAGATATTAAATAACTTGCAATTTCATTTCTTAAATAACTTGCAATGCTCTTATTTTAAAAGGTATTTATATGAAAAGAAAACTGTTAATACGCTCAGTATTGAAATGAGAACATGGTGTTAATTAAGGACAAAGACTCAGGTAAACATCCCCAGTCTTAGGGGCTTTTAATAAAGTTCACTAAAGGATAACCCAGGCATACCCCAACATGAGGCTAGTTCGAAATAGTTTCTGAGATAAATATGACCAGTACATGGGTCCAATGCCCCCCCACAAGAACAAAAACAAAAAGCCTTCCTTTGAAATGTCACCATCAAGCACAAGTATCCAATTAAAGGACAATCCAGAGCCACAACCAGTTGTTAATTTCCCAAATGAAGTAGCAGAGCTCTTGTTGGTGAAGGCAGCTTCTGTTTTCCTCACCACTCTCTGCTGCAGGAGAGATCCTCGCCAACACTGCCCTTCCCTCTGCTGATCACCTTCACCTCGACTCTCAGCAAAGCAGCCCGGGCGTCCAGGGCCTCTGTCCAGGAATGGCAATGGAGCACAAGTCTCCCCGGAAAGGGGAAAAGGGCTCCAAGGAGTTAAGGGTAAGAGAGCCAACATGGAGCTGCTGTGGAGAAGAAGTGGCCCTGGTCACCCCTGCCTGGCTCTGAAGCCCCAGCCTCGGTCTCCTGGACTGACCCTCCCCGCAGCCTAAGCTGCTGCAGAGGAGACCCGCGGCCGGCCCTGCGCCATGTCTGCTGTGAGCACCGCTACAGTGGGTGAAACCAGGCGTAATTTACAAGGCCTTGGT